TCCAAAAGGACCAAAATGCATTTGTCTTTGGTCAGAGTGCATCTGTTTATGTTCCAATATTCAGCTCAGGTCAATTACTCATCAGAATAGATTGACAGCATCTCTGTGGGCTTAGTTTGGCTTTCTTTGTAGCTACACTGCTTGTTGATCAATTACCCAGAGGTCATTTTCAAGTTGTCTGAGATTGGCGATCCTGGACTGATGTTAGTTTTGCTCTGCATCCGAGAGCTATTGCTGTGTTCACACATGCTTGAGCAAACCGAGCAAAGGGAATTTTACTGTTACCACTTTTATGGATCAGCAGTTGCTCTGTTTTTATTTTTGTAACGGCATCATTTCCTGAGAATGGGCCTACTATAGTGAACCATAAACGCTGTTTGCAAATTTAAGAGATAAGACTTGAAAGAGGATTTTTTCATTTGTTTGATTGAAGCTGAAATGCTCAGATGCGTTCTAATACTAGTGCTCTGCATTTAGGGGTGAAGCCGTTTGCTTGCACAATGTGTGATATGAGGTTTTTCCAACGCTACCATCTCCAGAGACACAGCATCACCCATACGGGTATGTGTCGTCTCTTTGTACCCTTCACACACTTATTCAGCTCATCAGCATGTAGAAGAATTAGTCATAAAGTTAACCCTTAAATTTCATTCATTATGTTGAATTTTAAATGTTAAAGGGGACCAATTATGCAAAAATCACATTTATAAGAGGTTTAAGCATCATTGTATGACAACAGTGTATGAATATATCCAGCCTCTAATGGTAAAAAATAATTCATTATATTTTTCATAACCCCACTTGATAAAGTGCAGAAACCCTTTGATTGATATTCTCTTTCTGTACGTGTCATCAGAGGGGAAAGCCCCGCCCATAAATGTCAATCTCTCCCTCGTTAGCATAGACCAGTGTTTCCCAGCTCTGTTCCTGGAGGCACACCAACAGTGCACTTGTCTCCTTTATCTGACTCATTCATGTCAGGTTTTGGAGTCTCTTCTATTGTTCTGAGGGGTTGATTCATGTGTGTTTGATTAGGGAGTTGTTGAAAATGTGTTCTGTTGCTGTGCCTTCAGGAACAGTGTTGGGAAACACAGCCGTTAAGAGCTTTCACTTTCTGAAAAGGTGTTTTTAACACGGTTAATGTTAGTCCTGTTTTGAATCTGTCAGTGATGCGCATATATTTGTAGCTCCACCCTCTCTTACTTTTTTGTGTGCATGTTTATATACCATAGCTAGGCTCGGCTCAGTCAGAAGCCATCATCCAGGTATAGTTGATGAATTCACAGAGCTGTGTGCACCTCTGAAAGGCTCAAGTAGACTCAGGGTGCTTTCACATCTGTAGTTCGCTTCATTTGGTCCGGACCAAGGGCAATAAATGATACATTTTTGTATTTTCTGCCGTCTTTCGGTCGTTTCCACACCACACTGCTGGCTTTGGTCCGAACCAGTTGAAACGAACCAAAATGCAGTCATCTGACAAAATCAGAATTCACATGCAGGAAAATGTCAATGAACTCTTACAAGTAAACAAACCGGCAGATACAAAATGTCGTTTTTACTCTGCCGGGACGACCACGCTGACTGACTGTATCTGCTTTAGACAAACTATACATTTCGAGAATGAAGCGTGGCTGGAAAACAGTGTTTTAATGCATCGCTCGTCACTTCAGGTGGAGCCGTGAATTAATTTAGCTAAACTGTGACATGCTCATCTTGCGGAAATATTACCAACATCAGGTAATGTTTTCCCCCTCTCTCTCTCTCTCTCTGTTGGTAAAGCACTGTTAACAAATATTTTTCCTCCATATCCCATAATGCACAGCGCATCGGCCTACGGCAGCTGGATTAGTCCAAAAGGCGCAGTACTATTTGCGGTTGGAACTGTTTTAGTACGGATCATATTCTCATCACAAACCGCTGCAGGGTTCGTTTGAAAGCATACCGAGACCACCTCTTCAAGCTGGTCTCGGTACGCTTATTTGGTCCGCTTTTGGTGCGCACTCGAGTACAATTGCTGTATTCACACCTGCCCAAACCAACCGTATCAAGAGGGAAAACGAACTCTAGTGCGATTCAATCGAACTAAATAAGGCAGGTGTGAAAGCACCCTCAGACATGGCGCTGAATGAATCTGCGTTGTTTTTTAGCCCTAAAGCACAGCTACTTTCTCAATAAAATCCATGTTAGCTATTTAGCAATAAAACTTTAGTCACTGGGCAAACAGAAGCCCTGCCAATGATGCAAATCCACATCTATTGTAAAATGGCAAAGAGTTTTGTTTTTTTTCATTCGCCGTGCGGTATTAAACTTTCCACTAAAACTACACTCTTCCAGCAGTTCCTCGCATCCAATATCTCGATTGTCACAGGGGCATGCAGGAAATGTTCCTGATTGAAAATGAAAGTGCCAGACTGCAGCTAAAGTCCACAAATTAATAATTTGGCAAATAATTTAATTACTGATGTCCATGTAAACACAGTCACTGTCTTTCTCCCATGTCTGTGTTTGCTTTGCCTCAGCAAACTTAAACTTCCATTTTTATGCAAACCCTTCCCCCTTTCCCTCCTCCGACACTCCCACCTGGACAGAGCTGGACACACCCACTTTCCTGACTTTTTTCAAAATAGAGGCGTGGACATCATTGGACAACAGTAGTTCGCTGTGTCAAGACAAATAATTTCTTAAGGAGGCTAATAATATTGACCTTAACAGTTTTTACTTTTTTCCCATTCAAACTAATAGAAATGAGACATTCTTGAGAAGAAAAATACACTAAAAACTCAACGACGTCTTGAATAAACAATAAACGACTTTAATGCGCTCTTTTGGAGAATAATTTTCATGATTGGACTCTTTGTGAAGCTCTTTTAATATTACTCATGCAGTAGTTGTGCTACCATGACAAAAATGGACAATGTAAGATTAGGTATTTGGATATTTGGTTCTCATGTGTTGTTGAGACTCTGCGCATGGTTAATATTCTGCTCTGGTTATTCAGGGGTGAAGCCGTATGCTTGCTCGATGTGTGACATGCGTTTTTTCCACCGTTACCATCTGCAGAGACACAGCCTCACTCATACGGGTATGTGTCTTTCTGTCTTCCCCCCCTATTAGATCATATCTGAGCTCTCCTGCCTTTGAGCAAACTAGAAGTATGTAGTTAGAGCTGATGCTGACACTTTCAAAATGCATCTCTAGTCCGTCTTGAATCGATTATGAGCTCAGTTTACTAGATAGCATTTGAATCTAGTTTTTAACAGCTGACAGCGCTCTAGGCTATTTTTTACCAGAAGACAGTGCTGTAGGCTGCTTTTTAACAGCAGATGGCGCTCTAGCCTAGTGTTTAACAGCAGATGGCGCTCTAGCCTAGTGTTTAACAGCAGACTGTGCTCTAGAATAGTGTTTTACAGCAGATGGCGCTCTAGCCTAGTGTTTAACAGCAGATGGCGCTCTAGGCTAGTGTTTAACAGCAGATGGCGCTCTGGCCTAGTGTTTAACAGCAGACTGTGCTCTAGAATAGTGTTTTACAGCAGATGGCGCTCTAGGCTAGTGTTTAACAGCAGATGGCGCTCTAGGCTAGTGTTTAACAGCAGACTGTGCTCTAGAATAGTGTTTTACAGCAGATGGCGCTCTAGCCTAGTGTTTAACAGCAGATGGCGCTCTAGGCTAGTGTTTAACAGCAGACTGTGCTCTAGAATAGTGTTTTACAGCAGATGGCGCTCTAGCCTAGTGTTTAACAGCAGATGGCGCTCTAGGCTAGTGTTTAACAGCAGACTGTGCTCTAGAATAGTGTTTTACAGCAGATGGCGCTCTAGCCTAGTGTTTAACAGCAGATGGCGCTCTGGCCTAGTGTTTAACAGCAGACTGTGCTCTAGAATAGTGTTTTACAGCAGATGGCGCTCTAGCCTAGTGTTTAACAGCAGATGGCGCTCTAGGCTAGTGTTTAACAGCAGACTGTGCTCTAGAATAGTGTTTTACAGCAGATGGCGCTCTAGCCTAGTGTTTAACAGCAGATGGCGCTCTAGGCTAGTGTTTAACAGCAGACTGTGCTCTAGAATAGTGTTTTACAGCAGATGGCGCTCTAGGCTAGTGTTTAACAGCAGATGGCGCTCTAGGCTAAGGTTTACCAGAAAGTGGCATTCTAGGCTAGTTTTTACCAGAAGGGAGCGTTCTAGGCTATTTTTTTTTTTTTTTAACAGCAGATTTTATTCTAGGCCAGTGTTTACCAGAAGGCGGTGTTTTAGGCAATTTTTTTTTTTACAGCAGACGGCTCTCTAGGCTATTTTTTAACTACAGGTGGCGCTCTAGGCTAGATTTTAAAAGCAGACTGCGCTCTAGACTAGTTTTTAATAGCAGACAGCTCTCTAGGCTAGTTTTTACCAGAAGGAAGTGCTCTAGGCTAGTTTTTTTTATTTATTTATTTATTTATTTTTTTTACAGCAGACTGTGGTCTAGGCTAGGTTTTAACTCCAGAAGGCACTCTAGTCTAGATTTTAACAACAGATGGTGCTCTAGGGTAGTTTTTTTTTTTTTTTTTACAGCAGATGGCGTTCTAAGCTACTGTGCTTTAGGCTAGTTTTTAACTGCAGACAGCGCTCTAGGCTAGTGATTAACAGCAGACAGTGCTCTAGGCTAGTTTTTACTGCAGAAGGCACTCTAGACTAGATTTAACAACAGATGGTGCTCTAGGCTAGTTTTTAACTGCAGACAGCACTCTAGGCTAGTCTTTACAGCAGATGGTGTTCTAGGCTAGTGTGCTCTAGGCTAGTTTTTAACAGCAGATGGCGCTCTAGGCTAATTTTTTACGACAGACAGCATTCTAGGCTAGTTTTTAACAGCAGATGGTGTTCTAGGCTAATTTTTAACGACAGACAGAGCTCTAGGCTAGTTTTTAACAGCAGATGGTGCTCTAGGCTAGATTTTTACAGCAGATGGCGTTCTAGGCTAGTGTGTTCTAGGCTAGTTTTTAACAGCAGCTGGCGCTCTAGGCTAATTTTTAACGACAGACAGCGCTCTAGGCTAGTTTTTAACAGCAGATGGTGCTCTAGGCTTGATTTTTACAGCAGATGGCATACTAGGCTAGTGTGCTCTAGGCTAGATTTTTACAGCAAATGGCATTATAGGCTTGTGTGCTCTAAGCTAGTTTTTAACAGCAGATAGCGCTCGGCAATTTATTACTAGCTGTTAAACTGAGTTCAGATTTGATTCAAGAGACGGCAGCGGTTCATTTTGAATATCCCAGAATCGATTTCCTAAATGATTTTGCACCACAGCTCTATTTGTAGTAAAATGATTAAATGGACAGATCCATTAAAAATTAAATATATATATATATATATATATATATATATATATATATATATATATATATATATATATATCTGTGTATCTATATACTCATATATATATATAGATATAGAG